AGAAAAAGACAAGGGGCCCAGTCCAGCATTCATCTTTCTCTGCTTCCTGGCCATGGACACAATGGGACCAGCTGCCTCACACCCCCACAGGCATGTTTTCCCTCCTCAGTAGATAGTAACCCCTCAAACCATGAGTCCAAATAAACATCTCCTCAGCTTGACCTGGGTATTCTGTCACAGCAATGAGAGGTACCTAGTACATGGAGGAAGTTTGGAGTTTGGTACAGTAAGTTGACTCAAAATGAAAGATAAATTTCCAAATGTTTAACTAAAAAAAAAAAAAGATGGAATGGACACATTAATTTAACTTGATTTAATAATTATATACTATATACATTTATCAACTGAGGCACATAAGTATATAATTTGTTCACTAAAATATTAATTAACTTAAGGTATCTGCAGGGCTTTGTTCCTTCTAGAGGCTTCCAGGGAGAATCATTTCCATTTTCCAGTTTGAGAAGCTGCCTTCATTCATTGGCTCAGGACCCTTTCCTCACACAACTGCTCTCTTGCTCTGTCATAGTGCTTCCTATAAACTCTGGTTCCCCTGCCTACCTTAAAAGGACCTTTGGGGTGACACTGGGTACACTCAGATAATCCAGGGTCATCTTTCCAGTTTAAGGTCTTTAATCACATCTGCCAAGTCTCTTTTATGATATAAAGTTGTATACTCACAGGTACTGGAAATTAGGATGCACAGAGCCTTGGAGATCATTACTCAGCCTTGCACACCTGGACATATATACAGCCCTGTACATGTATATGACTTTTACAGGAAATTCACTTTGAAGACATTTAAAATCAGAGAAATCTGGAATGTACATTTTGTTTTTAACTTTTCTTTTGGTTTTTTCAAGACAGGGTTTCTTTGTGTAGCTTTGCGCCTTTCCTGGAACTCACTTGGTAGACCAGGCTGGCCTCGAACTCACAGAGATCCACCTGCCTCTGCCTCCCGAGTGCTGGGATTAAAGGCGTGCGCCACCACCGCCCGGCTGTTTTTAACTTTTAAACATTTTTAAATTGTGTGTGCCTGTGTGTGAGAGAGATTTGTATGCAGGTGCCCTCAGAGGCCAGAAGAGGGCATCAGATCCCCTGGAGTTGGAGTTAGAGGTGGTTGTACACCACCAATGTAGGTGCTAGCAGCCAAACTCTGGGCCTCCAGAGAACTAACTCTGCACCACTGAGCCATCTCTTAGGTCCCATGGAATGTAGTTATTATTGAGGGACTATTCCAGCCAGCCAAGAGACATAACATTCAGGTCATTAAAGGGAAGTCCACTAGAACCCAAACAAAGGACACAGAGCCCTGTGTGTGGTGCAACACCTGGTTCAAAACCACTAGTGTGATATTGTTATTCCTCAAAAATGGGGGCTGCCAAGGTGGTTCTGCAGGTGAAGTACGTGCCATGCCACATGCACTCCTTGTGGTACTCAAGAATATACATCTATCTATCTATCTATCTATCTATCTATCTCTGCACACCTTCTGGTACTCAAGAATATTCTCTCTCTCTCTCTTCTCTCTTCTCTCTCTCTCTCATAATAACAATAATAAAGTTTTACAATGTTTTAAAGTCATAATTCAATAACTAAAATGGTTGAAAGAACAGCTGTTAGGAACAAATAGGAATCTGGGAATAGTAGTCAGCCTTGAAAGGAGCTGGTGACACTATTCTGAAGAGCGGTGAGCAAAGGTCTGCTTAGTCTAATAGACCAAAGTAAGGACAACTGCCAGAGTCCAACTCGGTGAACCAATGAGTTTTATCGGGGTTACTTACAAGAGTAAGGGTGAGGGGTGACTTACAGAAGAAACAACTCAAAGACAGCTGCATCACCAAAGCCCACCCCAGCATGGGTGACAGCTCATGAAAGTGGAAACCTGATGCTCACTGCACAGCCTGCAGGCAGCTCAACTGGACGGTAACTTTTCCAGGCGGTACAGCTGGTCTCTGTTTCTTTCAAGGTACTTCTCTTATCTACCTCTTCTAGGAACCTGGGCTAGTCTGAGAGTGCCTCTCAGCAGTCTTTCCTGCTTATATAAGCTTAGGGAGGGAGGCCCCTAGTGCATTTGATCAATTTCAGGAACTTCTTGAAGCTTCTGAGTTGTCTACTTCCTCCTTCTTAGGGAACCTTTCTTTAGAACATCTGGAGTCTTTTCTTTTTTCTAAGATTTACTTTTATTTTATATGTATGTCTGTGTACCACGTATATGACTGGTATCTACAGAGGCCAGAAGGATTTGGATCTCCCAGAACTGCAGTTACAGATGGTTTTGAGTCAGCATATGGAAATATTGGAAATCAAACCCAGGCTTCCTCTTATAAAGAACAAGTGCTCTTAACCTTTGAGCCATTTTCCAGCCCATATCTGATCTTAAAAATCTTCCATGTTACCTTTCTTTAGAACATCTGGGACTTAATGAGTTTCTCTCTAGGAAGGAGTGTTTTATTTTAGAGGAAACTACTTTATAACTAAAGGCTCCAAGAGAATAGGAACATATAATACAGAAATATTAAAAATCACAGATAATTTTACTTTTCATAATAGGTGAGAAATGTATAACATTCCATATCCTATGGACCGTGCATAAAGTATTCTATGAGACACCAGAGATCTCTCTCCCTGCATGAACATAGAGCAAAGAACATATGAAGCAGCAAGAACACAGGAAGAAAAACCCACAGGAAACTAATCCTCACAGCACCTTGATTTTAGACATCAAGCCTCTAGAGGAGTGGGGAGATTAATTCCTGTTAAGTCACCCATCTGTGGTATTTTGTTAAGGGAGCTCTACTGACAGGAACTTGAGATCTTTTGGTAGAGATTCCTAGTATCATCAGACTATCATGATAAAAATTATCTCTTCTCCAGAAAACAGTCATGGTTTTAGGGTTAGTACAGATATTCATAAATCATCCGACAAATACTGAAGATCAGTGTTAGGGTGCAGGTTTAGTATGTGTAAGTGTGTGTGCGTGGTGGCAGAGACATTAGGAGGAGTATGAAGGACAGACAACACATAGGCTTGTCCAAAACATCACAACATAGGACATCAATGATCCTAACTCTTTCACATGTATGTGCTGCATGTGTTGGTACACATACATGAGGAGGTCAGAGGTTGACATCAGCTGTCTTCCTTAATTGCTCTCCACCTTATTTGTTTGTTTATCTATTTATTATTTATTTTCATAAGTCTCTCACTGAACGGAGCTCACTGATTTGGTGAGGCTGGCTGGCCAGCAAGCCCCAGGGATCTGCTTCCAACTCTCCAGCACTGGGACTGCAGGTGCATGCTGGAGCACCCAGCCACAAACTCAGGTCTTCAAAGGTATGCAGCAAGCACTACACCAATGCAGCCATCTTCCAAGCCCCTATTTTAACTAAGAAAAACAAACCAAAAAAAACAAAAACAAAACCCTTAATGTTCTCGAGAAATTCTACCGCATCACTGCTGTGACTCTCAGCTATGAGATATGTATTTTAGAGTTTTTCAATCTCAATATATTGACATTACCAAACATAATTTTTCACTGGGGGACTGTCTTCCGGTCTCTACCAGGTGTTAGTAGCACCTTTTAGTAGTAATAGTAGTTAGTAGTTAGTAGCACATCCTGCCCACTGTGACAACCAAAGATGTATCCAGGAATTACTAAATGTCATACAGTGAAATAGATCCACAGGACATTCTGATCCAACCCCCTGTAAAGGGAAATACAACATTTGGGAATCACCAAAGCAGAATCACGGTAGTGTATGGCAATAAGAGCATTAGGAAGTTGGTAAGAAAGGTACGTCAGCATGTATAACATGGCTATATAGACATAGGTGGGGAAATCATGTTGAATTACAATGTGGCAGAAAGTTTTCATGGACAAGACATTCAACATGATTAAACCACTGGCATCAAACCATCTTTTATTTTTGGTATTTTGTTTGTTTGTGTTGCTTTGTTTTTTTAGAAAAGTTCCCATTGTGCAGCTGGTACTGCCTCTAACTCCTGACATTCCCACCCCTGCCTCTGAATGCTGGGATTACAGGGATGTACCACAACCAAATGGTCATGCGTTTTTAAAATACATACTTAAAGCATTTTACATAGCCGATTTTAAATTTTTATTTTATACCTCATCTTAAAATATGTTATTTTGGGGGTTATATAGATACAGAGAGAATGAGGAGAAAAACAAAGGATGTGCAAGAAAATCTTCCACTACATGGAATTTCCTTAACTTCATACTAGAAAGAACACCATATTCCCTTAGAAAAGGAAGATGGAGCCAGTCCTTGGCTCACGGTAGCTTTCCTTCACATCTCGACTGAACCACAAATATTTAGTAAGTGCCTACTATCGCGAAGGCACCGTCTTGGGCACACAATAGGCACAGTCCTTGGAGCTAGTAATACAATAGACTAAAGCTTCCAAAAATGCCTACCCTTCATTTCCATGGAGGCGGAAAGATAATGTTAAAACAGGAATAAAATATGGAACATAGCCTGTGGTATTAAGTGCTATAGGGAAAGACTGAAGCAGGAAAAAAGGGTCTGATCATCTAAACGAAAGATTCCCATGCAAAAAAAGGGGTCTGGTCATCTGAACGGAAGATTCCCATGCAGAAAAAGGGGTCTGGTCATCTGAACGGAAGATTCCCATTCCACCCTGCAGAGATGGGGTCCTTAAGACCCCCATCTTGGCAAACACCTATCAAGTCCCTTCTTGAACCGATGCAATCAGCAGATCCAATTTCTTGGTGCTCAGACTCTCTCCAAGCCAGCTTGCTTGGAGCCCTAGGTCACTGCCGACTTAATATCCAGAGCTCCCATCACTGGCTCCCATTTTTGAAGAAAGGGAGTCCCTGTCACACGGCGCGAGGAAGCGGCGGCCGGGGCGTCCACTGAGGCCCGACCCCAGAACCCAGTGCACTGACCGCCCTGGCTCTTCAGTGCCATCAAACGCCAGGCTCGCCCGAGAGCAAGGCCCGAGCCTCCGCCGTTACCTGTTGCGGCGTCGGCGCCGCTCCCACGCCGGTCCCCGCAGCCGTGCCTGCCCCCGCCACCGCCCCGGCAACTGCCGTGGCCGCCGCCGCCACCACCACGGTCGTCAGGGCCGCCATGTTCCCTCGCCGAGACTCCCGCACCTCCGCGCGAGATCCGCTCCAGTGGGCGCTCACCCACGCTCCGCCGACGGCTCCCAACTGCTGGACCACTCGGGCGGGGCGCGAAGCCGGCCCCGCCCAGCCCCGGGGGCGTGGCTTGAGTGGGCGTGGTTAGGTGGGGACGGGCAGCTCGAGGGCGGGGCTGTGCCGGGGCGTGGCTGCTGAGAACGCCGGTGGAAGCGCAGGGCAGGACAGAGTTAAAGGCGGAGCTCGGAAGGGGCGGGGCCGACGCCGGCTTGTGGAATGGAGATGAGGATACCGGACCTGGCTTGGGGGGCAAGGTGGACTTGGGGTGGTGTGGCGCAGTTTTGTATTTATATGAGCTTTCCTTGTGCTGGTGGTCTGTTCTGTTCGCCCACGCCCGCAACTGCTGAGAAATGCATTGTCTTCCTTTAAATTGTATTCGTGTTATACGAACATATGTGTTTTTCATACGATAGAACTGTTTCCTATTTCTGTAAGTGCCGATGAAACTTAGTAAACGATAAAGCATGTGGTGGAATTCTAGGGATACATGTTATCCTGCATTTTCAAAGAAAAATCATTCCCCGCAGAAGCAGGTGTCAGAGCCAGGAACACCATGGCTGCTTCCTAGGACTTACTCGTAAGAGGAAAGATTCCTAAGACCCTGTGTGGGAAGTTGAGAAAAATCAGTCTTCCCCTCAGAAGCAACCAGTGGCAACGGAGCTAGCTTTTATACATACTTCTGTTCCTCATTTAAGTGAATGCATTCGCCATTCTAGCTCCTGTTGTATGCCAGAAGCGGTTCTGGATCCGTGGAATTCTTGATTGAATTCCATATGCACGATTCTTCCTCTCATGACTTCTTGGGGGGGGGATATAAACAAGTAAACAAGCCCTGCATTTAAGAGCGAGTACCGTGACAGTCCTGTTGTGGGTGCTTTGCCTATGCATTTCTATTTCATCCCCACAAATAGCTAGGTTTAGCTGTGTAGTGCAAGTTTTGTCTCCATTCCGTAGAGAAAGTTAAGGAAGACTAGTCTGCATAGGAAGAGACAAGGATACAAACTCAGGTCCCTGACTCCAGAGACTATAGGAAGAACCGTTAAACGGGCTGTCCATGAGATGCGTGTGCATCTCCAAAGGTGTGGATTTAGTCTTCATCTACATTACAAAGAAGATTATAACATAGAAAAAAAGATTATTTTGAGTAAGATTTGATGAAATTTCTGGAAAGGACATAAACTGAAGTCTGATGACTGGGTCTAGAACCTTCTAAGTCGGCTGCTGCAGACAGGAAACAGCCTGGGGACAGAAGAAACAGTCTGATTTGGGGAGTTCATAGAAGGAGATGTATCTCAGCACTGAGAGCTGCAGGCTGATAGTGTAGTGACAAGACAGAGAAATGACAGTTGGGTTTGTCAAAAAAGGAGGCTGGGGGCCATCGGAACAAAAGCAGAACCAGTGGGTGGTGGAGAACAAAGCCTGTCTGAGTGAATCGAAGATTTGGGAGTACAGATGATCCTAGGGTTGATGTGGTAGCCGTGGGAGAGACTTCGCTGGGTTTTTCGGTAAGGACTAAGAGACTAGCATTTGTGTACTGCTGCAAATGACCCAATAAAGAGCAGAAGTTTGGTGCTGCAGAAAAGAACAGCAACCAAAACCATGGGAAAACAAAAGGGGTGGAGCCCAGGGCCCAGAGGTGGAGCCCAGGGCACAGGGGTAGAGCCCAGGGCACAGGGGTGGAGCCCAGGGCACAGGGGTGGAGCACAGGGCACAGGGGTGGGGCCCAGGGCACAGGGGTGGGGCCCAGGGCACAGGGGTGGAGCCCAGGGCACAGGGGTGGGGCCCAGGGCACAGGGGTG